TCTCTCTCTCTCTCTCTCTCTCTCTCTCTCTCTCTCTCTCTCTCTCTGTGTGTGTGTGTGTGTGTGTGTGTGTGTGTGTGTGTGTGTGTCTGTCTGTCTGTCTGTCTGTCTGTCTGTCTCTCTCTCTCTCTCTCTCTCTCTCTCTCTCTCTCTCTCTCTCTCTCTTTCTCCCCACCCTCTATCTCTCTCCCCTTCTCTCTTTGATTTTATCTATTTCTTTTATTGACACTTAGGCTAACAACAGTTTGCGAGCAGACGTGAGCAAATTTCAAGCTAAGCCAGCGGCAATAAATAAACCGCCATCTTTGCGCTTGACCCGCCTTGAGTCGCACCACCAGTCAGCTCGTTGTCTTTGTGGTAATGTTCAATGCTGCGCTCTGCTGTGCCCGCTCTGCCTGCAGTGTGGCTAGAGCATAATAAGGTCATATGAGCGCACGGTACACATCTAACATTTTCAATTGGTAGGACATTTTGAATTTTGCCCGGGTGGCGGCCGAAGCCTACTCTTATCGATTTTGGACCACTAAGGGATCTTTAACGTGCGCAACTTGCACACGGGACCTCCGAGATTTTTCGCCCTTGTCTTAGAAGGCTAGGTGTAGATCTTTCCTACCAGAAGATCAGGGGTGTGGCTGAAAGACAGCAGTAAGAAGGAGCCAAGGAGAAGCAGTAGAAAGGCTGCAGAAAGTGATAATAAATTAATGGGCAGTTAATGTAGCAGTTTGAGCGTAGTCCCGATAAAATCCCCCTCCCTCCATATTTCGATTTTTAATTAAGGGACTTGCATTCTTTTCAAAGTTCCGGAAATTTCGTGTCCTATTCCTAATTTTTAGAAAGATGAACAGGGTGGAGAAGTGTAATTCCCTTGAAAATCGATTTGGAGGGTAGGGGGGGGGGGAGGGATTTTGTTGTCCTAATGTTCTAAGGAAAGTGAGCTCAAAATAAAGCGTTTTCATAGAGTTATGAGCGTTTTACACACCGGCAAAACACACTGATGTGCACGGACAGTTTGTCATTTCAGAAGTAGATGTTGGGCTACCGGTACTCAGAACGGGGTCGATGGGACAGTTTGTCATTTCAGAAGTAGATGTTGGGCTACCGGTTCTCAGAACGGGGTCGATGGGACAGTTTGTCATTTCAGAAGTAGATGTTGGGCTACCGGTTCTCAGAACGGGGTCGATGGGAGGTAATCGTGAAATTATTGAGGGGAGAAATTTCCTGTGTTAATGCCCTTGGACACACACACACACACACACACACACACACACACACACACACACACCACACACACACACACACACACACACACGCACACACACACACACACACACACACACACACACACACACACACACCAGAAGTCAGAAGTTGTAACCACAAATAAGAATTATAAAATAAAAAGTAATAGTAATAACACGTCAGACCCCGCTTAAATTAGCCTCGGTTTTTACTTTCGGATACTGCAGCCTAGTGGCACATTCAACCTCATACCCCTGTACTAGTAGGAACAAATCTGTTTTTACTTTCGGATACTGCAGCCTAGTGGCACATTCAACCTCATACCCCTGTACTAGTAGGAACAAATCTGTTTTATTTTCTCCTTCAGTGAATAAAAGAACAAGAGATTATGAAATTTTAGTGATTTTAGTAAGTTACTGTGACAAGTTTTCCCATTTAGGAACAAACCAGTTTCATTAACCCTATCCGTACGTCGTGTTGTTCTATCGTATCCATACGACGTGGGGAACTCTGTGCCACCACTTTCAAAGAGGAAATTTACTCGTTAATCCGATCCGTACGCTTTACATAGCAGTCTGTCAAAACAATTTTTTGAGAAATACCGAAAGTTTCAAAGGGATACGTGTATTGTTTGTTTGTTTAGTATAGGGTTTTACGGCGCTCGCAACTTCATAAGGTCATATGAGCGCGCGGGACACACCTAATACTTTTTAGTTGGCAGGAAATTTTGAATTTTGCCCGGGTGGCGGCCGAAGCCTACTCTTATCGATTTTAGACCACCAAGGGATCTTTAACGTGCGCAACTTGCACACGGGCCCTCCGAGATTTTTCGCCCTTGTCCGAGAAGGCTAGGTGTAGATCTTTCCTACCAGAAGATCAGGGGTGTGGCAGAAAGAGAGCTGTAAGAAGGAGTCAAGGAGTAGCAGTAGAAAGGCTACAGAAAGAGTCAGGAGCCCAGAGGATGGGGCAGAGGGAGTGGGGGCAGAAAGAGGAGACGAAAGCAGACGACAGAATATTGCTAGAGAGCAGGAAAGGAGGTGAAAGGAGACAATTTTAGAGAAGAACATTTTTCGGTCGCTACCTGGATTCGAACCTG